GGCGTAGCATTCGGGAGCACTTTGGGGTCAAGTGTCTCAAGGACACATCGACATGGACCGGAGGAGCCGGGGATCGAACCGCCGATCCTCTGGTTGAAGGAAGAGCTGACCTGTGGCCCTTTGTTTGCAGTCATTGGAAACTACTTTTTAACAACATGTAAGAAACAGGGACTGCAAAGAGATAAATTCAGCGCCATGTTTTTTTTTCTCGTAATGCTGCAATCAAGGTGCATTCTGGCCATGATGCACCAAGTAATGCATGAAAAGCTTTAAATAAAAAATGTTACCATCAAAGAGTATGCTTTTTTATACTTGTGCACTTTGGCTCCGCATTAAATCTTTTTTTGCATCAACAGTAAAAATAAACCGACGATGACGGAACAAATAATTCCTGATGCAAAAACTGCTAAATCATTTAACAGGACGCAGAAGTAAAGCGTCTGTGGTGAAGAGGGAACGGGAGATGCAAGTCAAAGCTTTGCTGACAGAGACAGATGGAGATTTCACAGAGAAAGTTGCTCAAAGCATAAATTTACAGACTCGAGGAATGAGACGAGGGATGAATTAACAACTCTGTGATGCGGTCTCAGTAAAATATCGAGAGACAAATTGCAGGGCTGTCATTCGAAATCTGAGGCCAGTGCCAAAATGCCACATGACCTGTCGCTTTCAGCGACGAGTAATTTAATTCTCTGCACACGTTTAACAATATGCTTTCTCACATCCTGACCTAATGTCTCCTGCTGGCACATATATAATATAAGACAAAGGGTCCAAGATGAACACCCTGTTAAACAAATGTAACGCCGCTTTCATGACCACCACAATGAGGTTAAACACTGCACCAGATCTTCGCTGGAAGAAGATTCCCTTCTCCTTCAATGTCCTGATGAACTGAAATAATCCGATATATTCTGACACAGTTCAGCGCCGGTGTGACAGCCTCATAAGGACCGACAGCGTTCTGCAGAGAGTGGCCCGTCGCCCGACACTTTATTTCCATCAGCGAGATAATGACGTGTTTATCCAACGCACTGAGGCCAAACAGAGTGATTTCTACTCGCTTATACTATAGGTTTTGTGTTTTTTTTTACACTTCTCTGTTCGCATTTAAGTTGCCAACAAGCTCCTACACTCCTGACCCTCGAGCCAAACGCATGCACGCAATGTAAGATGTGAATTTCATTTAAGACAGAGTGACTTACAGGAAAGAAGCATTTTATTCTTGAAGGCATCCTGAGGAGGTTTCTTGTAAAACTGTCCTTGAGGCATGTTGAATGAATTCATGAAACTTTACATGCTTTTCTAAATATGATGACACCTGACTCCATGTCAGGTTTTAAGATAATTTAAAACTACACCATGTCACACCATTTTGGACTATTAATATTACTATAAATAACGCCCCAAATGCTCCATAGCGCCCTTTTTCTTCCCGAGGAGCCTGACCCCCGGACCCCCTTAGAGGGTCCGAGGTCCACCAAACCACAGACACATAAAAAGAAAAACCCACTCAGCACATTGGCTCAACACGCATGGGCACTTGTGGCAAAAGTAAGTGTCCAACACTATCAACGAAAAAAAGGCTGACCTTGAAGGAATGTCAGTTTGTTCTGGTGCTCACTTTCTCTCTCAAACGCTCACGCTGTGTTAGTAAAGGGGTTGTCGGGGGGGGGATTGATTCTTAGATGCATCGCAATTTCGTCTTGAAAGATAACGAAACTCAATAATCTGAATGTACGTTATGAATTCTATTCATTTTCTTGTTGGTTCTCTTTGCAATGCTTGGAAACGTAACCCTTCCAGTTGACACATCTCTTCCATTTTTTTCACTGATATTGAATTATTAAAAGATAATGGAAGTAAATTCATCTGTTTTTTTAATTATGAATCTTTATGCAGTGTTTTAAAAATAGCTAGATAGTCACAGTATAGAAAAACTCCGATGCATCAAGATGAATTGGAGTGGAATGGTGAGGTGCCAGGAGTTCCCCCTCCTCATAGGGATGTGACAAGGCGTCGTCCTCTGAGTGTTATGGGTTTAACTCTCCAGCAGCAGACGGGAGTTCGGCTGTTAGCCGGTGACAGCGGTCCTCTCCAGGCAATGTGCTTTCTGGTCTCCACAACAACACCACCTACCGCCCCTCACCTAAATGCACTTACTCAATGTCAGCATGTTTAAGACCCTGCAGCCAGCAGCAAACGCCGCAATAAACGTTGGTGAACTGGACACCAGAGCACCGGCCGGTCCTGCTCCTTCATCTCTCCCTCAGCACCGTGTCATCCAAACATCATCCAGTGAAAAAGGGAGTAGAGCCGGCGCTGAGCTACAACCACACACACCAGCTCACTGGATGCAGCTGTGCCGTCGTGTTGGATGTGTTGCTATGAACATGAATGAACTGAGACACTTCTCTTTCCCTCAAAAGCCAGACGTTGGTGATTGTGGTCATTCGTTCCTGCCACACCTGAAGTGCTCGTAGTAACAGAAGACAACAGCACTCTAATGCAAGCAGGATGTGAAATGAGTTTTAAATGTTCTCAGCTTTTAACTCAGCAGAATCAGGAGGCAACCTCCGTTCTGCTGAGTGAAGTCAAAGCTTCATGTGTTAAAGCTGCATTCTCTCTAGTGTCCACCAGGGGGCGACTCCTCTGGTTGTATAGAAGTCTATGAGAAAATGACTCTACTTCTCTCTTGATTTATTACCTCAGTAAACATTGTAAACATGAGTTTATGGTCTCAATCTCTAAAGCAGGGGATGCTTTAGGGCGGGGCTGCTGTGATTGACAGGTCGCTGACGCTACGGTGAGGATAAAAACAGGTTAAAAAGATAAAGTTAGAAGATAAAGTGTAAAAGTAAACCACCACATCACCTGGAGGTCCAGACAGAAGACGATGAAATGAAGGAACAACGCCGTAACATAGAGACGAGTATCGTTAGGATGTTATTGATACTTGTACACTTATCGGTTCAGTTCCTTAAACTCTTATCGGTTCTTTTTGATTTTACTGTGAGAAAAAAAGACAATTAATTAAGAGAAGAATCAACATGATTCATAATTCTTGTATGTAAACAAATAGTCTTTCTGAAGCAGCAACACAAGAAGTTCTAAAACCTTTAAAATCATTCTCAGCTAATCAATGATCTCAGTGATGATCCTGTTCTTCTGATCAACTCCGTATGACATCACTACCGTATGACATCACTACCGTTACCTGACAGCTGCTCCTCAGACAGACTGATGTTCTGCTTGTTGGTCACATGTTGTGATGAACTCACTTGTGAGGGTTTCATTGTGTTTGAGACGACCAGAGTTCTCTCTGATCAGGCCGTGAGCCTCACGCTGTACTGAGAGGAGTCGGTGTGTGTGTGTGTGTGTGTGTGTGTGTGTGTCAGAGTAAAGGGGGGGGGGGGCATCCCTGCTGTTACAATCAAAAAATATATTCTGTGTAGTAGCTAGCGTAGCATAGCAGTGCTAATGCTAGCTAATGATGTGCTAACGTATAGTTTTATGAGCATGTAAATGTGTTTATTCGACATGTTTTCATGAAGTCAAAGTGGTGTGAAGTTCCCCCCGATGTCAGCGGTTCTTTCACTGACCCTCGGCTTAAACACGCGGTTCAACACCTTCACAGCTGGAGAAGCACTGTGGTTACTGCTGAGCGTTTGGGAATACAGCGCCTCGCTTGAGGCCGCCACAACACTGGCGAGATAAAAGCCTTCGTCCTCCTTCCCACCAATTACAAACCTCTCAAGGGGGTTTAAGCTGACTGGTCCGAGCTCACGAGTACCCGGGAATAAAAAAACACTGGAAGGTGACATTTAAAAAAGTAAATAAAAGGATTCATGTGTTGTGATAGAGATATTGCTGTCGCAATTTGTGTCCTTTGTTTGATAGGCCAAGCATGCACAGGGGAACAAGTAATGAGCCAATTACAACCCTCCGTCTGATCCTCCTCCATGATGAGATGAAATGTCATCCTCTGGGGTTTTAATTGCCTCTCTGTCCTCTTGCTTCTTTCCTCTTTAATGGGTTTCCTCCAGCGGCAATGAAACGCAGTCTTTTGTTTACTGGAGACATCTATCTATCAATCAATCCATCAATCAATCTATATCTCCAGACCAAGCCTGCTGCCTGTCATGCACGTCATCAGATAAAGTTATTTTTAATTCGTGAACATTAATAAAAGACTGCGTATCCATCATAAGTGCTTCTGTTGTGTCCATCTATTCTAACTCCATATAAAGGAGGTCTCATGTGTAACCTGCAGCAGTGAACCTCATGGATTTAGAAAAAGGCAGCAGGTTACTCAAAATCAGTACAAAGAGCGTCCTCTGTTGCCTGTTTGGTCGCTTTACTCCGAAAAATCAATACAGACGGGAGTGCAAAGATTTGCCTAAAAACAACCAAGGTGATGCCAAAAAAACAAAACATCTGGATCAATACTTTCTTCAGTTTTCATATTTTTCGAGAGAGAGAGAGAGCGCGAGAGACACTCTCCCGGACCTGTTGACCCAGAGCTACTGAGAGAAAATAGAAATAATTCTCACAGCGTTTGGACCGACCTGCAGGAGCGTCTCATAGTTGAAAAGCAGCTTATTATTTATTGATTTTATAGATGAATTTGCCCTTTTTCTCTTCAATAACCAACAGAGGCTTGAAGCCCCGCAACAGTCACATGACAAGCACTATACACTCTGCATAAGGAATAATACATGATCTTGATCATATGACCTCATAATGAGCTGAATATGTGTTGTTTTTGCAATGCGTAATGTGGGCCTTTACCCAATCTATCTGCGGATTATGATTTTCTTCATAGCTGGTAGAAAATAAAAGAAATGTGTCAAACTGATGTTGAGAAGTGAGACTGTTCTGCACATCAGTAAGCAGGAATGGAGGAGGATACATTGATGGATACATGTTTACTCAATCAACGCTTCTTCTGGGAGAGCGTGATAAAAAAGCAACAGATGGGGGGGGGGGGTTGCTTTTACCTTTTCAGACATCAAAGAAGAGCGCGTCGGTGTTTCAGGAGAAGAAGAAAGAAAAAAAGGCCGGTAATCCGTAAATATAAGATGTGCTTCTCCTCCGCTCTCTGGAACTCCAGAGCCGCCGCTGCGTCTCCGCTGAGGTCTGATATCCGAGAGATCTCCTAAACCCAAAGCGGATATCCGACCAGGAGCATCCCTGTGTTCGCAGCACTCCGGCTGGACGTCTCCCTCTTGGACATGTTTCCAGCTCAACTCTGTCAGGTATCAGAGTTCGTTACACACACAGAGAGAAAATAAGCGGATGAATTGGGAAAATCTGCGCGCATCAACACCGGGTCCGACGGTGCGCCTCGGGAACCCACGTGTCTTTCCCGTGCTTCCGTCTTTCCCGTCCTTTTAAAAAAAAAAAATCCCTCTCTCTGTTTACCGAAACAGGAGGACCGGTATTGATGAGAAGCCCAGAAACGGTATCCAAATTGAGCGCGGGAGTAATCGCTCCATCAGGGCACACTGACGCGCTGCGCCCCCCGGAGCCTGGAGAGGTTACGGGGCGGCTCCTGACTGCGGCTCGTTGTCGTCGCACCGGAGATTATACGGAATCCTTGAAACTGGGATTATCGAGGAAGACATGCAGAAATCTCCCTCCCCCCCCCCCCCCCACCCCCCACGACCCCCCACAAGGTTCCCCAAAAACGGAGGAATCTCAGTCGAAGCAGACGAACTGAAGGTTACCGCCCGCCGCCCCCGCAGAGGTCTCGTTGCGCGGCTCGGCTCTCCAAACTCGGGGAATTCCTTAACTGAGACTTCACCTGCCTGTTGCCGGTCGTTCGGCGGGTCCCCGGTGCGTTTCCAGATGCGGGGGGGAGGTTATCAACAGTTTGCCCAGTTGCCGCGTGAGCCGAAATACGCACAAAACGTCGAGGGGGTCCGCGGGTGATTTCATCTCAGCTGAGAGATATCAGAAACATGACGGAGCGTTGAGATCCCTGTGTGATCTATCTAATCTAAATAAAACACAACGACAAGATGATGTCAAAGTAATCAAGTACTAGTTTTTGTTGTTATGCCTCTGCGTGTATTTCCACAAGCCACGGGCTCCGTGTCTCCACCGGAGGGAACATGTGGGAGGCAAAAAAGAAAAAAGGCCTTTGAGGTGTCAGGAATGAATATTTTAACGGGAGGTGTGTGCGCGCGTGCGTGCCAAAGGGAGGGAGGGAGAGGGAGAGAGAGAAAGAGAGAGAGAGGGAGGAGGAGGGAATCGGAATCAATGGTGATCGATGGTTGTGTGTGCGCGCGCCCCCAAGAAAGTGAGTGGAAGAGCGAGAGAGAGAGAGAAAGATGGGAAACGGTAGAAAGTGTAGTAACACTGTGATAAAGAGAGAGAGAGAGAGAGACAGAGAGAGAGAGACAGAGAGAGAGACAGAGAGAGAGACAGAGAGAGAGAGAGAGAGAGAGAGAGAGAGAGAGAGAGAGAGAGAGAGAGAGAGATAGATGATAAATATGATAATGAATTCAGTTATTTCTTAATTGTCTTTTAAGGAGCCAGAAGAGGAAGTATAAACAGAAGGACGTCACTGATACAGGAACTACAGGATCATCAGCCACGTCCCAGCAGCAGCTGTGACTCCTGTTTCTGTGGCATCGATGTGTCTCATATGTCACTACTTCATCATTCAACACCTCCATCTCTGCTGGCTTCCCAATTCTCCAATACGGCCCCTTCACCCCTCTCACGCTCCGCTTCCACTCCTTTCACATTAAGGGTCCGCCATATTAAGCGCCATCCCAATCCAGTTAGCGATGGGAGTGCACGTGGGCGATAAAACCCTTCAAAAGACCAAACAGACACACTTTTAAAACTGTTCAAGTCAGCTCAGTGTGATGAATGCTACTGAACAGTCATTTGTTCGACAGCAACCTCTCCTTTGAACACCACGTCAAACAAATCACCAGAACTGCCTTTTTCCACTTAAAAAACAGCCCGTCTCCGCCCATCACTCTCCTCATCTGCTGCTGAAACTCTGATCCACGCCTTCATCACCTGCAGAATCGACTACTGCAACAGCATTCTCCACGGCACATCATCCAAAATCCTAAATAAACTCCAGTACATCCAGAACTCTGCCACTCGCCTGCTCACCCACACCCGCTCTCGTGACCCCATCACCCCTGTTCTCCAGAACCTCCACTGGCTCCAATACAAAATCCTTCTCCTCACTCATAAAGCCCTCCTCAATCAGGCCCCCTCCTACCTCACCGACCTGCTTCACCACCACACTCCATCCCGTCGCTCCGCTCCTCTGATGCCAACCTCCTGTCCCTTCCACTCAGGACCAAGCACCGGACATGGGGCGACAGAGCCTTCTCCATAGCTGCCCCCTCCCTCTGGAACTCTCTCCCCAAACACATCCGAGACTGCACTGACCTCTCCACATTCAAATCTCAGATCAAAACCCACCTGTTCAAAACTGCTGTTAATGTGTGACCACTATTGTGTATTTTATGATTGCTTTTATATTTATGATGATTTTAATGTAAAGTGTCTTTGAGTTTTATGAAAAGCGCTATATAAATAAAATGTATTATTATTATTATTATTATTTGTGTTTCTGTTTCATATTGTCATCTCTATGTTCTAAGTAATCGTGGAATTCTTTGTGTAGTTACATGTTGAATGTTTTCAGTGTGATCACAGTACCGCCACCAGAACAGTTTTGTGATTCTGTGCAAATGTCCTCAATGGTTTGTGCGATATCTTACGAAAAGTTACTAAGTTTTACTGCAAAAGCAGAGCAACACCTGTCACGTTTCAGCTCCTTACATACACACAGGCTTTTCAAAATAAACCTCCGTTTTCACAGGAAGCAACTTGGTTAAGTTTCGGCAACAAAACTACTTTAGGTTAGGTTGAGGAAAAGATCGTCGTTTGGGTTAAAATAAGTACGGCTGTGCCGTTTCCTGAAGTACGCAAGTTACGAGAATAATAAGTCGACTTCTCGTTCCACACGGGGATCGAACCAGCGGTCTCCATGCTGACAGATCGATGTTGGTTGGACCCATCCATCCCCCATCATGCCCACTCTGTGGTCATCGTTACAGCTATGAATGCTGATTAGAGCAGCCTGTACTGTGGCACAGTGAACTACTGCATCTATTAACAGTATGATATGATTGATCATACATCTGGAGTCCCTGCAGTCTTTAATTTGCATATTAGAATGAGAATCTATACTCAAAAAAACAAACAGAATTCAGATACTAAGACTCCCAAAGAAAGAGAGCAGAGATGCTAATTTGTTACAGCGAGCCGTTCCAGTGATGATGGATTTGTCAATATCTACTCCGACTGTCGTTTGATTTATTCGTTCCCCACATCTCCATCTTAAATCTCAGCATACAGCTGGAACGAGACATGATCCTCCAGCAGTGGTTTTACTCTGAACGTCATCTTCTTCATCTCCATCATCGTTAGATTACCGTTTGGAATATTTACTTCCCCCTTTTTGGCTTCAAGCATGAAGCCAAATGAGTTTGGTAATCAGTTGCAGTGTATATGTTTAGGGCTTTTATTGTGAAAGGTAAGAACAGAAGGAGTGGCTTCAACGTGATTGGTTGACGCCTTTATTTGAAGTGCAAAAGCTCCGAAAGTTTGACCGCGTGTTTGTGTGAATGTGCTCATGACGAAAACAACAAAACAAGAAAGAGTGTATGAACTGATAAAAGGCACGGTTGTGTCCAATCTAACGTTTGAAAAGCTTTAACTCTAAAAAGGGAAATTATAATACACTGTCCCTTAGAAGAAACAAACCCAACAGTTCATTCACCAGGTGCTCACATATCAATAATACATCAATGTAGAAAACATGAAAAGTGTTTGAGGAAAACACAACAAGGTTTCAGGATAACGAGGTTTTTCTGTCCCTCAAAACCAATTTTCTCTGTTTGGAGACTAAAACCGTCGACTTCTTGGCATTTCCACACACTCTGCATCCTCCTCCTCCTCCTCCTCCTCGCCAACTTGCATTTGAAGCCGCTCAACAATGACGACCAGTGAGTTATGAGCAAACACAGGCGGTCGAAACATATTATGCTCCACAGCCAGTAAAGCAAACGACACATCTGGGGATTGTGCCAGAGATGACATGGACTCGTTATTGCGTATTCTTATGGGGAATTAATCTCATTTAGTAACGCAAAAGTGCTTTTTATTGTGCGATATCAACATGATCACACGTCCAATAAAACACGACTAAAGAAACCTTAGTTGACAGAGACTGAAGCCACAGATTGGATTAACTAGGCGTCTCAGAGTGCAGGCCAACACTGCAGCTTAGTTTAAACTCGCCGCAGTGAAGCCGGCGCCAGAAAATGACCCAATCACGGCCGGCACGTGGGGCGCGGTGCTTGGTCGTGCACCTCAGAATTTCTGTAACTTGGCGTGGATCGCGTGACTGTAACAAGGAGTTCAATGCTAAAATCACTATTTACAAGTGACTTTACAAAGAAGAACGATTTGTTTCTAGAAACAGTGTTTAGCAGCCAAATCAAACAGTTTACAGGATGTTCAGCCTTTGTTTCTTTACAACACATTTAATGCTGGACTTCTTTCTTTACAGGTTTGTATAAAGGTAATAAAGTATCCATGAATATGAGATATGAGTTTATAGATAATTACAATCCCTCCTCTCTATAGTGGAGGTTAGTTTATGGCTTTTTGCTGGTTTCACCTTCAGTCTAAGAGCAGATCTCTGAGTTACACTCGGTGTCTGTCTGATTCCTCACAGTTCATTTTGTCTGTACGTCCTCTGGTGTTTCGTAGAATAATGCAGCTCACAGAGTATAAAACGCCTCCGTTCATGCTCGGAGCTCGCACCGTCTGCGGAGGCACCAAGCGTGAGAACAAACAAAGCTTTACTTTTGGCTTTAAGTCCACACACGGATCCAAAAAGAGGGGTTTCCATCTGGAACTCCAACTGCATGATGAAGCTACAGCGCAGTACTACTGTCTGTCTCTGGCCTTCTTTATCTCACACACAGCCGCTAACAGAAACACAGGAAAGCATGGCGGAGGTGACAGCGTTGTTTATCAAAATCTTATTGGATTGGAGAAGTAGACCGCTGAAATATGGTGAGCGGCATGCGTGACACAGTAGAACACACCCTGAACACACATGCTCGTCCGGGGCAAACTTACAAGGAGAGGAAAGGTAGAACAGAAGTAAATCTTATGGACGGTGTCTTAACAGGGTATTTATAGGTGGTCACATCATTCTTTTGTGCATTAATCAAGGTCAATATTTAAAAAAAAAATCTAACAAAAAGGAAACCACAATGATAGAAAACATGACTTTAAAGCTCTCAAGCTTACATTGCTTTCATGATGCCAGGATCAAATTCCAAATCCAATGATTTACGGAGACGACTTCATGATGGTAAGTTTTGCTCTGCAGGCACTTACAGTATTCAAGTCACGAACAGTCAAGTGCTGATCACCCGTAAAGAAGGCCCCCCCCGAGGAGAAGTCTTCATCAAAGCGAGGACTCGCTGCAGTTTGTCCTCCACTATAGGTCACCCTCTCACCCCCCGTGACCGTGTGGCTGCTTCACTCTGTCAGAGACCTCAGCCAGACGAGGCTTTTATCTTGGAGGCCACT